TTTATTCTCCGCAAATTTGGGGAGGATAGTCTCAAAGATGGCGAACTATTGGCAGAAAGTCGATGACCTTGCGCATATGAATATGGTAACGGGCGTTAGACATTATATTTAATGGCCATTTGTACGTCTTTCGCAGAAGAGTAACATCTGGCCAATCCTTGTGCAAGGAGACTGGTTACCGCGAGTAATTAAAGTGTGCTTATTTAAAACTAACCTGTGGCTGGTTCTGTTGCCTACGTCATATTCCACTTTTACAGCGTTTTGAAATAAATTAATTCAGGTTAAACGGAGTCGACATTACACCGGCACTGACGTACACCCGAGTTTCCAGTTAATCCCGAAATAAGCATAATTTAGTGTCATAAGAACAGCTGACTCAACAAAGTCTGTTGTCATGGACGATAGACCGTGGGGTTTTTGTGTATCCTTTTGACGAAAAACATAATAAATTAACCATATCACTTGCCATGCGAGCATTCTGTTTCTAAATCGCTGACGGGACAGCTGCGGCTAAAGAAAACTCGCTCACGGGGTGCCAGCGTGCTAAACAGATGGCGCGATGTTTGACTAAACTTCCATATTGCGAGCGCACATACCTAGATTTCGGTAACCGCATTCAAGTCTTTGATGGGGTACCCGGTGTCTTTCGTATTAACGGTTTTTGTCCAGCAACAGATACCAACTCACTGTGGACTCTACATTTTTAAAGCACAAAATTTACTCAGTGCTTTATCGCCTATCAAGTTGCTTCATAATTATGACTGCTGTTACCTTTAAAGTTAAAAGGAATTGACGTGATGTAAGGCTGGCAAAACTGCTTTTGTCAAACTGTTTTAAAGTAATCTAGGGGACAGCAGAAATTGATTTCTTCAAAATTTCGAGGAAATCCATTTCGTTTGTGACAGTACCGACCAAAAGTCCCGAATTACAGGGGAAACAATCCACCCATTAATCTACTTTGATTCGCAGCTTGCTATTGTGAATACGTAGTTAAGCAATGGTTTCTGAGTTTCTGTTGCGCCCAGCTTTACAAATGATATGTGACTGAAACAGCGGGAGGGTTTATTGAAGTGCTTGTTTTGGAAAATTAGCTAGACTTTTCTCTGTCGGTGTGAATTCTTGCTAAACGCCAGTTACTCAAACATGAGAAGAATCCACTGCAAGCGTAACACACATATATCATTCTTTTTTAAATAGAAAACTAACATAGAAAAGAATCTGGTCTGTATCAACTCTTTATTGAGTCACACGATCACTGAAGACTCCCATTTACACAGCTCTAATTTCCACTGGGAACTGAACACAGAGGAATAGCATTTCGCGCTCATCAAATAACTCCCATCGGATATCTGATTGATGCTAAAACATTGTGCAAAAACATTGCGTTAACTAAATATGAAAACAAATTTTGGAGAGCCCAGGGTACGCTAACCCGCTGATACATACCTAAATCATGAATGCGGAGAAAAAAGTTATGTTTGAAACGTGGTCTTGTGTTACTCATCTATGATTTCTTGATGAACACTAAAAAACCACACAGTGGGTTACTAACCTACTGTCACTTAAGATGCTGTGTCAATTACAGAGATGCATTTTTCTTTCGGCTCTAATAGGGACTGAGGTCCCGCAGTCCCTTCTAGGTCCAGTTAAGAGACAAATATGCACACTTGTTCTCCAATCATTTCTTCTATGACCTGATCAGCATTAGTGCAAAACATGCGGACGTAGCAGCATATGAGCATTTAAACAAGTCGATAGCAAGTGCTTCACACAGGCTGAGCAAAGCCTAATTATTGAATAAAACGCATGCAGGCTTTTTACAATGGAGCATAATCTCAATTGGTCAGAAAGATGAGTTTTCGGAATTCACACACATTTTGGCGACCTTATATTGAGTAGATGTAAAGTACGTCCGCGATGAAGCGGCGTTACAAATTACATTTGCCGAGCGAATGCTAGCCTACGAGAAGTGCAAGCAAATGGTTATTTAATGTGTTTATTATGCGCACAACTTCTCCGAAAAATTTCGCTGCTCAGTTCACTGAAAACGTGGCATTGAACAGTTAAAACATGTGCAAAATTTCCCAGGTTTTGCAACACCGTATCACGGACCGATCACAGCAAACGAGAAAAAACGATAACCAAAAAGGATGAGATTTGCTAAAATTCCCCAAATTTAGCCTTTGTGTTCGTGGGTTATTTTGCTTACAGAATGCTGTAACTCACTGGTGGAAGATTGTCGGGTAATTCCAATGTGTATCTGTAAACACAGGTTCCACCTTGTTCAATGGGGCACGATGGAGTCAAACATTCACATAGTGTCTTGTGTAGAGGTGGAAGCCAAGTGATGTTATTACCGTGGACCACTTGTGCAGAAGCACTTCCTCCTTGAATACCTGCGGCTGGTAGAAAATTGAGCATTTTAAAATAATGACTGAGTAAACAACATAAATTTATGATATGTATGGTGACACCCTACAGAACCAATAAAGCAACTTCCGGATCAGCCCAGTAGAATAATGGTACAAACTACACTGGGAATTAGCTTTAACAGGACCCAAAATGTCCTGAGTTCTTGATCAATCCACCGTTAGCAAATACTGAAGATGGAATTGATGCTAGGCTTTTTCAAGAAAATTAATTGCGGAAGTCGGTTGTTTTACTTCCAAAAAACATGTTAGTGCTAATTCCATCCCAATGTTGTCCTCGATGCGTAACTTCGAATTGTAATTTACTTGTGTCTCTGAGAACACATACCAATCTTGTGCTCTTTCGCACAAACGCAAGTATACCCTACCCACAGTGCCATGGCTTGGAGCACTGGTCAGCCACATCATTCATGTGGTAGCTGTTCTTGAGGCGGAATGGCGTAAGCACTTGATGGGGAAAACTGCTAGAAAAAAGCAGAGGAAATTAACTCCACATTATGCGCAGCAATGGTTGAGCATCTTACATACGCTTGCAACTAAATTTAAACCGCGCCATAGTTAACACAGGCAAATCGTCACCTCGGGATGTCAGAAAGCTAAAAGTCGTTATTCCAGAAGTATCCCTTGGAGTCGAACGATCAAATACAGAATACTGACACATTCAAAAATATCCACAGAAATGATGCGCAAACACACCGTTTCCTTAGAAACTTACTTGATGTAAATACTATATCGACGGATACAGGCGCTCTGGGAACAAAAACGCACGGATCGCCGTTACATGGCGTTAACTCAACTGATAACGCAAATGCCTCCGCTGAACCTACAAAAGCGGAAAACTAATAGCCATGTTTATTGAGTCCATGTGATGCAGTCAGTTATGTAGATTAAATGAATTTCTAGAATTATTTGTTATGTATTAGGGAACTTTGCTTTGAATGCACTAGGTTGCGTAAGACATTAATCTCTCTACTCAAGGAAAAAAACGCAATACCCAAGCATTCGCGAACACAGATTGATGAGTGAGAATAGGATGCCATTGGTTTCACACAACGTGCAACTACTTACCACTTGTATATTTGTTACGTCAACGTAACTGATAAGTAAAGCGAATCATTTTTAGTTTCCAAGTCTGTGGTTATCCCTTGTCATTGGTAAATTGTTTTTAAAATCGGCGGGTTATCTTTGCAGTTACTGTAAACAAGTAGCATGAGTATGGGGAAGTCGAATAAACTAATCGCCCAAGAATAGGTTAGGCAAGAAAAAGAGGCAGAATTTCCTGGCAGAAGACGAATTAATTACGTACCACAATCCGTGTATCTTATGGCGTCTGCTGCAGAGGAGGTAAATACCACAAGTTCCCATGTCATCAAGTCCAATAGCTGCATATTCAATAAGTCATAGAACAATCGTTTGGATCAGGCAGCTCCGTGTGATTTTATATTGAACCGTTTACCCAGTTTGCGTACAAGGTCAGGTACTGGAGACATGAGCCAATTTGCTCAATCTGAACCGTCAAACTTGTGCGCCCAAAAATCCACGAAAATGCTAATTTTAATGAAATTCACACGTTGCCAAATTTGGCAGTGCATCACGCATGTCATTAATTTCCTCCAGTTCAGCCTCTGGAAATTGAACAAGATTGTGATAAGCAGGGTTCATTATTTATGCCCTTGCCCACACAATCTATGTTGTGTGGGCGGTAAATGTTTGGCAAATTTTTGACTAACCTACATGGGTCATGAGAATTTCGCACACAATTATTCCTTTATTTCACTGGGTTAACAGACCAACCATAATTTTAGTTCATTAAAATGAACTTATTTCTGCCACAGCAAACTTTGGAAATTGTACTCTTGTATATTACTAAGACAAAAACAGCAATATAACATTTTTCAAGGCTAAACAATTTCGGTAATTGTGGGTCGAGGAACTCGTTCTGACGAAGAAGTCATTACTTGGAATCCAGATCCTGGAAAGCCTAATCAACCTAAAGGGTCAAAGTAGCCCTAGACGGTCGTGGAGAATTCTTATAACGCTGTTGCTGGATCTGTTTGTAGAAGGTTCTAGGGTTCACTTGTTACCTTACACAAATGCAACTTGATATCAATATACTTTCCCAAAACTACGATCAAAATGTAACAGGCGGTGATCTCTTTCCGAGGGTTTCCGGTCCTCAAAGACATGGTGGCAATCATGAAGGTTTATTCAGAGACCAGAAATTTTGATGTCAGTGTGGAAAGCTGATAACTGAAGAAAATGATCACTACCCACGGCATGGCAGCTCCTTGGATGAAGGCACCAGAAAGACAGGGAGATCAGTTCAGCTGGATAAACAGTGTTTAGTTAATTGAATCATCTTTCAAACCATGCACACATAAATAATTGAACCAAGCCCACCTGTAGGTAGTTATTTGACGAAAATGCTTCAAAAGTTTATCATGAGCAGCTTGTTTTAGGAAGAATCGCTCATGTCCAGCAGGTATCCCAACCGTGTGCAAAGTGCGGTATTCGACCATAATGAATCGTCCAATTGCGAAAGGTTTTGCAACTTTTGTGTGTACACTCTAGCCTCAGAATGACCTTGGTTCTGTGGAAGTCTACTCGCCGGAAGTAATCATGTGGATTAGGAAAGGGGATACAACGAAATTTCCTCCAGAGGTAAGCTCCACTTGATTTGTGCACTCCGCAGATATTATTATGCGGAATAATGCTAGTGTGCGAATATACGACAGCAGAGAAAATTCTTTCATGTCGTCCGGTTTCTACACATAAATGCGATACAACCCCTGCGAACAGAAAAATTAACCAGCAACTTTTTGTCTAGGGTAAGTTATGTTTACCTGGTCACTTGTCCGGCAAATGTTTTGACAAACCCGCATTCAGAGTTCATAACGCTGCTAGATATTAACTGGTTTTAATGCTGCATCTGGTATCGGTTCGATTAAACATGTCGCCTATAAAAAACACCTTCATAAATCTCCTTATATTTCCATCTACACAGTAAATTTTACAAGCACATAACTGAAAAAACGGGCTAAGTGTAACAAACGGTTTCAGTTTCAGGCATGACAGCTCGCTTCTTAGTGGAATGTGACGTTTGAAAGCTATTGAAATCGCTGTACCGTTGTTAGACGTTCGTTATTCCATAATAAACTGCACAGAACAGTGAACTGCCTTGTGTTTCAGGTGTTGTATATCAACATTGATAAATTACGTAAATTGTTGGAAGCAGACGGGGAACGTCGTTTATGTTCGGCTTAAAAAAATATTTCTTTGAATCGCGGTTTCTTCAGTTCTCCATCACAAGCTGTTTTGTCCACCCTTGCTCTGTTGCTATGCCTTTTTTCTTTTTCTTTCTCCCTGTTTTTCATCTTGTGCGTTGTATGAATCCTGCTGTTAGCAACAGATTACTGTCAGTCACCCGGTCTTATTACAGCACAATGGTGGAGATCATGTATTCAAAATGCGTGCCCAAAAAGACGAGCCTAACTCACCTACAATCCTAAAGAGTTTAAGCACACTAAGACATTATTTGGAGGGTGCGTGATCAGGTGGTAATCTGCTACGTCAGCAAATTACTGTCAGAAAAATGACGTATTTACTTTTGATCTTACTGTCTGGTCTTTTGACAGCGGCTAGAAGTTCTCTCTTCAATGCACCTTGCTCACTGACTAAAAGATTCGAGGGTGTGAATACTCAGGAACGTGAGTCTGACAAGCATTTTCAACAGATTCCTGCGTCCCGGCCCATTTTCAAATGTGGGAGCAGTTTATATGCCATTTGTTATTACACCTTTACCTGATCTAAGTAATATTAATGGTCATCGCGTTTTATTTCCTTTTCAAACAATTCAGAAATCGCCCTAGAACGTGCGGTATGCTAGGCATGCAATGCTGGTTCGGTTTGTGCACAAATAGTTGAAAGGGCGTTAAAATTTATAAAAGTTTCTAGGCTGCGCAGAAATAGACGGCAGGCAGAGAGCTCTAAATGCCACCTTTTTGTTTTTGTTTTAATCTAGATGTGTTGTTGCTTTCATCAGTGTTTAAATCTGCAGGAAATTTGACGCCTAATCCATATGGAAACTTCACCTGCCTGAGACCAGGAACCCCGGAAGAAGTATCCTAATTTTCTAGAAGACTGGCTGTGGTGCGCCAGAGGAGAGTGTGCAGATGCCTGAGTTAGATCGACCTAAAGTTTTCTGTTAGTTGAAGCTTTTGGAAATTTCATAGGCGATGCAGAAAAACAAACCCCTTTCGGCCATATGTAAGACAAATTGTCAATATGAAAAAAAGCGCCCCAATATAACGCAATGGAAACTTGTTTTTCGCCTATGCGCCTGATGCTGTTAGCTTTAACTCAACAACTTTGAAACCCTTATAAGACACCCTACGCATACACTACAAATTCAATCAATTACCAGGATAGTTTTGCCAAAAAGGGAAGGTTCTTTCAAACGAGGACGCTGTCGCTAGCCTTTTTCTGAGATCATGATTTTTAAATAATCAAAAGATGTTCAATAAACCGATGGTATTAATATAATTTGTAACCCACAGTATCAGACGAAATCCTGAAAACGAGTTCTTGTTTGTTTGGTATGTGTTCAAACCCTGATCTGAGCAGAGTAGTCACGTGACCAGCAGTCAACTGGGAAGTGTGGATATCTTTCAGAAAGATATTTTAGAGAATTATGAACCGGTGAGAGTGCACACACTCAAATGTTTTGCGGTAAATGCGGACGATTGTGGAATAATTATTTCATGTTTAGTTATGTTTAACCATAATCACTTTTGCTAGACAAAAACTAAATCAGGGGTCCCACCTGGCGTCTTTTTGTATAGTCCTTGTCCAGTGATCCACTCAGTTGAAACAAATGTGCCAAAAGCCAGATGTGGCACTACCTTCAGTTTAAATGGGGCCAAACAAAATTACCGGCACCTGCAGCAGATTTTCTTTACCCATGCCTATTTTTGCGGTGTTGAAGAATAAATCCTGGTGTAGATGAACTGCGTATTTATTGCAATTAATTTAAACCTTTGGTTTACATGTGCACGTGTGAAGGTTGACGGGCAGAATTTAATCATGTCTAAATGCACTTTCCAAAAGAATACTGGAGAGACCACCGCAGTGGCTGGCGATCGGAGGACTTTTTGACTTTTCCGTAGTCTTAGATTTCGTAGTCAAGCATCTAACAGACCTCTGCGCGGCCCAGCATTTAAATATCCATTCATTCCCGTTTCAGATTTACGATTGAACCTAATCATGCTCTCTGGAAGTCATAGTTTTCAGATTTATTCGCTTTATCGATTTTAGTGCTGTCAGGCATTTTAGAATTTTTGAAATAAAAAATCCAGGCGGCAACCCTGGATCTCAGGGACCGCATTTATCAACGCCAACCTTTTTGGTCACTAGTTATCTAACGCAGAGGAAAACACCACAAATCAAAAAGGAAGTGTCCGTGCGTTTCGCAAATCGGATCAGCCAGAAAATATCTCAATAATTTGTCCTGGCTGCAGAAATCAAGTATCTGTAACCATTAAAGTGTAGAATAAATATCTAGTGGCCGTAACGTAGTTGGTGATGTGCTTCGTTCTAAAAATGATTACGAATTTTGTATTGAAATGAATTTCTTCAGGGCAAGTGATTTGAGGTTACAGAACACCGATGTAATCAAGGTGATTGACCATTCTGTAGATAATTCATGTGGTTTCCATATAAACACCCTCTAAATAACATGCCGTGGGACTGGTGCTATCATCGTAGCTGTATATTTTGTTGTGATTTATGTAAAGTAGGATTTACATAGCTCCGACCGATGTCCTGCCGTCTGCAACAGTTCAAACGAAAAAGGCTTCCGATAACTTGATTTCGATGGAATTGCTACGGTAAGCAAGGTTTATATTAGTATAAGCTGTCTTGGAGACTTGAAAAAAAAGAGCAACACGAACCATTTGTAGCAGAGAGTATGACGTCGCACTCTAATCCAAAGACTTTCTATGAGTTTTCACGCTATAAACGATCAAGTTTCGTGTACAAACGCAAACTTGGTTTTAGTAAACTTTATGGTTTCAAGGTGACTGCCACATGTTTTGCCAGAATGCAGCAAACTCGGTTTCTTCGCTGCGGCAAATAGAATCGTGTCATGCGGCCAAACCATGTGGCATGTATATAAGGTGTCACATCTGCTGATTCGTCGGTCTGTGGTATTTGCTGCTGACCCGCTCCAGTGCCTAGTGTCGGAGAGAAAAAGGCTCACGGAAGGGAACACAATAGGTATATTCCAAAAAAGTGGTTGCAAGAGCGCGAGGGCGTGCAAGTGCGAAAATTACAACGGCCTCAAGCTTTTTATTGGAAGGACACTGTCTGAACATAGTCCAATGCTGACGCACGCGGTTTGGCTTTAGTACGAGGTAGCTACTTGCTGCATATTGCGGAGGAGTTGTCTGTCCTTGATCAACGCTGACTCGCGCTGTCTGGGTTTGATGCAAGGCTGTGACGCGCTGCATATTCAGGCGGCGTGGTCTGTCTGGTCAACACCCAGCGGAGCTGAAAGTCTCCGTAGATTCCGGGCATTCAGCGGTTGCTTTCAGGAAGCTGACCTTCCTGATATAAGGGGAGACACACCAAAAACTGACTAGCATCCGTACCCTCAAAATGATTTATAGCTAGCTAAACTTATTCCATAGACTAAACCAATCGTTAAGCAGGGAAACTGCTATTCTTCTCGAATACCAAAACAATAAATCTCTGACGCACCTGCCCAGCTGATTGGTCGCGATGGAGTTGTTCTTTATTATTTTTATTCATCCATTAGTAGGTATACAAATTCTAGGAGCGCCGACCGCGTCTGCTATTTTCTTATTTGCTTTCTATATTTTGAGCTCACCGAACAATCTCCTGCAATTGTGGCACCACACAAGTGGTCTTCAACTTCTGTGGTTGAGCTAGTGTTGCGCAACACACCGCATTATTTCACTCAGTTCGTCCAATAATCCAGTTGTTGTTGTTTCTCAAACTGAGCTTTTCAAAGATTGTCTCTGGATTTTAGCCGATATTAGACAAACTAATTTGCCTCTTGAAAATATTTTGCCTCGCTTACAAACCTATGTGTCAATTTGAATTAGCAATATATATTGAGAACACTGCTTCCTTCTAGCCAGCTAAAGTATCCAATTCTTGACACGATTTTGAGCAAATTTGGGTACTTAACAGTGAGAAGTTATTTGTTTCATACCTTGGTTGACATTCCAAAGTTTCAGTGATAAGAAATAGGGTTGTTTAAAATGAATGACGTACAATGGATAAAAATCAGAACAAATCAACATGACCATTCACATTCAAGATGCATGGTTTTCGTATTATTCGCGAATCGCTTTGCACTCAAAACAATGCTTTTTTACTAGAATTGCGGAAGTGGTTCTCCTGGTTGATACGTATTTATTGGTTGCAGTTTTAGGCGATGATTATAAGGAAAGATATTCTCTGATCACTCGGGTCAAACATTCAAAAAATTCTGCCCTTCTGTTCAGAAGATATGTGACGCCATAATAGCATAACAAAGCTGAATTTATATAAACTGGCGGGTTCTCAGTGTTTGCTCATTCAGCTCATTCAGCATTTATATTGAAATAAATTGACTTGATTCACCGCGCACGCAAAGT